CTCCCTTCCCCTCCCACCTCTTTTCTTTCTAATTTTCTCGGAGCTCTTCCGACTCAGGCCTTCGGGGTCCGAGGTCCCCGGACGAGGACGTGATCTCCACCCGCGCCTCAGCTCTCAAATTCCCCCGCCCCGAGGCCTAGGCCCCACTCGGGACCGACCCCACGGACCCCAGGACACTGCCACCGTCGCCGCCACTGCCCTGAGCCCTGATGGGGGAGTGAGAGGCCACCCTGGCCGGACATGGGCCTCCCCACCGTCCCTGGCCTGCTGCCGCCGTTGGTGAGACTAGGGATCAAGGAGTGGGCTGGGGCGGGGGTAGCCGCTGCCAGGCAGAAAGGGGCGAGATCCGCTGGCCCCAGCCTCAGGCCTGCTCAACGCCAAACACCGTTCTGGTTTCCCCATTCATCTGCCTGTGAGGGGAGAGGGTCGGTGAGGCCGATGATTTGGGGGAAATGGAGGAAATGTTTGAAAGGGAGAGAGAGAAAGGGAGCCCTGGTACTTCGTAGCCAAAGAAGTTTGATGGGGTCAGGGGGCGTCCGGGAATGTGGGGCGGGCGATAGGCCAAGGTTGAGGCAGATTTGCCGGGGAAAAGACAGAGTGGGAGAAGGAAGACCCATTCTCTCAGTCCATAACATTCAGGATTCAGAATTCTGCCCCTCTGGTCAGCTGGCAAGGAGCCCTGGTGATGCGGCGGTTAAAGCGCTGGGCTGCTAAGCCAAAGGTCCGGCGGTTCGAATCCACCGGCCGCTGGGGGAGGGCAGTCTGCTTCGTAAAGACTTACAGCCTTGGAAACCAAAGGGACAGTTCTACTCTGCCCTATAGGGTCGCTATGAGTAGAAATTGACTGGAAGGCAATAGGTTTGGTTTTTGTTTTGGTCAGCTGGCTGGCCCTGCGGCCTGCGTTGGGCTGTGGGGAGGTGAGGCTGTCTGTGGAACCTGGTTGAGCAAACCCTGTTAGAGGACTGGAGTTGCATGGCTAGTGAAGTGGGGAAACTGAGTCCAGGAGAGGGGATGAATTGTGGGGTAGGTTTGGGATACTACATAGTGGGAAAGTCTTTGGGAGTAGAGTGGGAAACTAGAAGGGGGAAGGACAACTAAGTGCAGAGCTCCCCAGTGCCCTCCCAGGTCTCCCACTTGGGGCATTCTTGGCCCTTCTGCTTGTGGCTCAGCTTCCAGGCAGAGTGGCCTATGTTGACTGACCTCCTCACCTCCCCCCAGGTAACTAGTACCACCTCCACCCAGTCAGTGTCCCTGCCCCTGCCCTCCCAGCCCCCTCCCTGTAGAACTGAACAACAATCCTTTGGTTTCTCCTTCAGCTCAGTTTGGGGAAGTTGGTAGAAAGTTGTTTTCGTCACTGGAAAATGTCCCTTTCTCTTCCCTCCGCCTTGTTTCAGTGTATCCTTGTCCTGAACTCACCTTGTCCAAATGACCTGAGCCCCCAGCTCCCCCATCTAGTTGGGTAGATTATCCCTGCCTGTGCTGACCAGGTCTCCTCTTTATCATGCGTCCCTGCCCTTCCCTGGCCCACTGCTTGCCCCTCCCATCTCCCCTATCATTGGCATTTTATACTTTCTCTCCCATTCATTCCTTCCTTTTCTATCACTCTCCCCTTCTCAGAGTCTCCTTTTTGAAACCCTTTTCTCTCTAATTCTTTCCTGCTGCCCCTCTTCTGTGCTCTAGTCCCATGTTTCTACACCCTGGTTCCCCCAAACACCTCTCTATCATGGTCTCACTGTTCTTCTCATTCCCCCACCTCCTGTCTCCCCAGTCCCATCCTCTCTTCCTTTCTTTCACGGCTGTCCCGCCTCCAGGATCTTTCATCTCCAGGATCTTTCCCAGAACCAACTGCCCTGTCATCTTACTTCTCTTCTCTCTTTGGGGTAGATCACCTGGCTGTACCATATAATAGCTAAGCGAGTTACTTAACCTTTTAGTTTCTTTATCTGTAAAATGGATATAATAGTTACTACCTCACAGTGTTGTTTTGAAGATTAAATGGATTAATGTATGTTAAGTACTCATTCATTTTATTAAGTGCCTGGGTGATGCAAGCGGTTAATGTGCTGGGCTGCTAACTGGAGATTAGAGTCCACTCAGAGGCACTTCAGAAGAAAGGCCTGGTGATCTACTTCTGAAAAACCAGCCATTGAATACCCTATGAAGCATGGTTCTACTCCGATACACATGGGGCCTCCGTGAGTTGGGATTGACTTGATGGCAACTGGTTGTTGATACTCTTCATTAGGCGCCGTTTTAGGTGCTGGGATTACAGAAGTGAACAAAATTTCTGCCCTGATGGAGTTTCAGTACTAGTAGAGGAATGTTGTTTTTGTAGCTGCCATCTCTTCAGTTGCCATGAGTTGGGAAACATATAAAAAGGAAGGAAACGCTGCCTGGCCCTATGCCATCCCCATGATCATTTGCAGATCAGAACATTGTGATCCATAGGGTTTTCACTGGCTGATTTTCAGAAGTAGATCGCCAGGTCCTTTGGTCCTTCTTCCTAGTCCATCTAAGTCTGGAAGCTCTGCTGAAACCTTTCAGTGTCTTAGCAACATGCAAGTCTCCACTGACAGAGGGGTGGTGGCTGCTTATGAGGTGCATTGGCTGGAAATCAAACCCAAGTCTTCCACATGGCAGGTGAGAATTCTACCACTGGACCACCAATGTCCACTAAGCCAAAAAACCAAACCCTCAACCATCAAGTCGATTCTGACTCATAGTGACCCCATAGGACAGAGTATAACTGCCCTGTAGGGTTTCCAAGGCTGTAAATCTTTATGGAAACACGCTGCCACGTCTTTCTCATGTATAGCCACTGGTGGGTTCGAACTGCTGACCTTTTGGTTAGCAGCTGAGCTCTTTAACCACTGCCACCAGGGCTTCTAATGCCCACTAAAACCAAATCAAATCTGTGGCCGTCGAGTCGATTACAACTCATACCGACTCTAATGCCCACTAGGGTGTAGCAAATAGAAAGTACGCAATAAACCTTAGCTTTTTTTTTTTAAACATTAGCTTTCATCTTATTAGTATTACTGGTAAAGTGAACATTTGTGTTTGGAAAACAGCGGGTACGGTTAGCCTGAACAGATAAAGGAAAGTGCCTAGGGGCTGGGGCTAATCCAGCCCAGGCCAGGGAAGGACTTTTACTGGAAAGGAGCCCAGCTTGGAGCTGGAAGGAGTGGGAAATGAAGGGAGGTATTTAAGGCTGCATTAGGCTGTCCATGAGCTTTGCAGTGTGTCATCATTCAGTGGCCCACACAGCACCCAGTGTCTGCTTGTGTGCATGTGTGCGTGTGTGCGTGTGAAAATGAGTGGGCCTGGGGAGTGCATGCACCTGCAGGTAGGTGTGGAGGAGGAAAGCGGAGAGTGTGACAAAGCAAACAGTAGACTGATCCCTGCTGTCACAGAGCTTACAGTCTAGGAGCCAAGACAGCTTACAGCAAAAAATGATTTCAGAACAATCCGGGAGAAAATATCCACAAAAGCATTGTAATGAGTGCCCTGGAGCACTGAGGGAGGCAGAACCAGGAGGAAGACAAACCTCAGTGCAGCTGCCTTTGAATTTTTAGCAGATCTCAGCTTTAGTGCTCTGCTCCAGGAAACCCATGAGCTTATCCAGGCTGATTCAAGTGCCCTTCACCATTCTCCTACACAGATCAGGGGCCTACAATCCACCTGTCTCTGACCAGCTGAGAGCTCTTGAGCATGTGAGCTGTGTATTATCCATCTCTGCCTCCCTGGCACCCAGCGTGGGGCCAGGGGTCAGGCACACAGTTGTTGTTGTTAGGTGCCATCGAGTCAACCCCATGTGACAGAATAGAACTGCCCCATAGGGTTTTCTAGGCTGTAATCTTTACAGGATTACAACAATGGTGAGGATGGCACAGGACAGTGTTTCTTTCTGTTGTCCCTAAGGTCACTACAAGTTGGAATCAACTTGACGGCACCTAACAACAACAACAACAATCTTTACGGGAGCAGATTGCCAGGTTTTTCTCCTGCAGAGCCACTGAGTGGGTTTGAACCTTTGGGTTAACAGCCGAGCACTTAACCATTGCTCCACCAGGGCACATCCCCCCCACCCCTGGTTGAGTCATTTCCGACTCATAGCAACCCTATGGGACAGAGTAGAACTGTCCCATTGGGTTTCCAAGGCTGTACATGTTTATGTCACATCTTTCTCCCATCTTTCCCCTGTGGAGTGGCTGGTGGGTGTGAACTGCCGACCTTTTGGTTAGCAAGCTAAGTGCTTTAGCCACTGTGCCACCAGGGCTCCTCCCAGGGCGCACCAAACCAAACCAGTTGCTGTCGAGTAGATTCCAACTCATAGTGACCCTATAGGACAGAGTAGAACTGCCCCATAGGGTTTCTAAGGAGTGGCTGATGATGGATTTGAACTGCTGACCTTTTGGTTAACAGCCAAATGCTTAACCACTCCACCACAAGGGCCCCCCAGGGCACACAGTGCCCCTTAAATATCTGTTGAGTGAATTAAGGGGCAAGGGATGGAATGAGGGAGGGAAAGCCTCAAAGAAAAGTGGATTTGGAGCTGTCATTTGAAGTCACTGACTGGCAGGATGGCTAGAAAGGAGGGATGCAGAGGAGTGGGGAGACTGGTTTGAGGAGAATGGTGGAATTGAGAGATGGGATTTTGTGTTGGGGGCGGTGGTGGTGGCAGGAAGCTGAACACCTTCTTTGGAGTGGAAGGACCATGTGGAAAAGAATGGCAGCATTGGAGTAAAGGGTGAGGGAATGAAAAAAGAATTTTGAATATGATCTCAGGTGGAAGAATTCATTCATTTGCTCATTCATTCATTCATTCAGAATATAATCTTTGAGGGCCCACTGCCCGGGATTGTGCTCAGAATAAAAGTGAAGTAAGAACTTAAGCAGGGGGAGAGTGATCCAATGAAAGTCATGTTTCAGATCAGGCCCTGGAGAGGAAGATTCACACACAGGTGGGGGCTAGTTGAAGCCTGAAAGCAGATAAGAAAGTGTGTGGGATGGCTTGGAGCAGGGAAGAAGCTGGTGGCTGGGCAGTCGCTGGAAGACAGTGGGCAATAATCTAGATGGGAGGCAACCCGTGGATGTGGAGAGGACTGAGAGACAGAAGAGGGACTGGTGAGGTGACCTGACATACTGAATGGCATCAGGGGAAGGAGGGAGACCCAGAGAGAGAGGTGTAAAAAAGCTCTTGGCATTGGTGTCCTCATATCAAGAAGTTGGTGGCATGACATTTGTCTAGGTGAGGAGATTGATGAATTCAGTTTGGG